CCTCATTTGGGCAAAATCGTTTACTGACTTTTATCGTAAAGGAAAAACCGTAGTGTCTCACGAGCTTTCTAGGTAGGGGAAGCGTCTGACCGTCGCAGACGAAAACTGGTCGCCACCGATGATTTTGTGGCTGCACCATACTTTGTACGTGATACAATATTATGCTTATTGGAGTGTGTGGCGTGTGCGGTGTGCTCATATAATAATGTTATAAAATCACTTTATAAGTATACATCGATCGAATTCTATCTTTGTAATCTTGTAACTCTAGGTAATGAAAAAAAAAAAAACTAAATCCAAATTTTTGTTTATTTATTTAAGTTTAATATTATGTGAGTTCAGAGAATACATTTTTTAGGGGGTAATTTTTTGGAGGGCATAGCCACTACAGCACAGATACTCCAGCTCCCTCAGTTGAGCTTATGTCGATAATCTATATCTATTGTTCATTATTATATTGATTATTTGCTGATTTTAGTTAAAAGTTAAAACTTATGAGGTAGGTATTAGTATGACATAAATATTAAATACACATACATGGATTGTACGTGGTATCTGGCTACAATCAAATCAAATAATAATATCTTGATTCTTGGACCATAGTAATGAGATTTGTTTATTTAAATATCAATGTTGTAAAAACGAACTACGGATACTCACTAAGAAACCGGACACGCGAGAGGAAGGACGCTTTCTGTGTTATTAATCATCGGGGAATGTCCATGGAACCGTAAAGGAGCTTAACCAGACATATTGTACCAAGGACGAGTAGAGGACTATAGCGGCGGGCTGTCGGACCAGGACGCCATGTGGCTGATGCCGACAGGCCTTTGCGGTGACCGGGCAACGTTCTCGTTGGGACCTCGAAGACGACTTAGAGCAGTGTACAGCGAATCAGCCGGCGGAGTAGGAGGATGCGAGCTCGACGGCGATTAACATGAGACATGGCATGCAGCGGCACTTGCAGCAGCAGCCGCCGACAGAGGATCAGGACCAGCAGGGCGAGTTTAAAGATTGACCTATTACGCCGAAGGACCGTCCACTGGAAATGCTGCCGCGTTCGCTGGAAACCGGCCCACCCGTGTTCGTTCTGTGCTTGCGAAAGCGGCCGGACGAATCGGACGAGAAAGCCAGGTTGCAGATCGAGGTGCGTGTGCTGAGTGAGTTTCGAGACCGCGGAAATGGTGACATGATCGAGGAGGAACAAACTGACGGTGAAACTGAAGTGAATAAGAAGTGACTTGGTAAATCCAAGGTAATTAACTTATCGAAGCGCTACAACAAATGTAACGATTTTACCACAATATATATGATGGTACCAAATAGCATATCTATATTATAAGTAAGTACCTATGTAGTATTATGAATTGAATTTTTGATGAGTGTTACTATATAGAATATAATATAACAAAATGTCGAAGAATCGCGGAAAAAATCAAAATTTTCAATTTCGTTTCATCATTTTCAGCATACAAATCTAACCTGCAAGTTTCCTGCATTCTGCAGCAATATGCGCCAGCTGGCGTTCTTGAAGCCTTGTCACGTTTCTATTGAATCTGCCACCTTCACACTTCTTATTCTTTAATCAGTTTCACAGTCACCAAGTTCCTCCAGTCACCATTTCCCGGTCCGATGCACTCGACACGTCTCTGATCTGCAGCCAAAAGCTTTCTAGTCCGAACCGACCGGCTGGCCGCACAGGACGAACGCGGGTCGGTTTCCAGGACACGGGCAGCGTTTTCGGTGGTTCTTCGGCAAAGGCCGATCTTTAGACTCGTCTATACAGCTGATCCTGATCCTGTGGCTGCTGCCGCTGCTTGCCATAATCGCCGTCGAACACCAACATCCTCTTGCTCCATCGAGAGTGCTGCCGGCTGACTCGCAGACGGCCGTGAGGTGTAGTGCACTGCGTCGTGTCGTCGTGGCCCGACGAGAACCACCCTGCTGCAGGCTCGGTCGCCGCCGACTTCCTGGTCTGACAGTCTCCGCAAATCCTCAAACTTTGTCCTCGGTACCATATATGTCTGAGACCATAGACATTCGCTGATTTGAACCCACCAGCGTGTCTCCCCTCAAATATTTGTCCGGTTTCTTCTAGACGATTGTGGCCGAAAGTCAAACGCTAGAAGCTAAACAATTAGAATAAAAACAAAGAAAATTGTGTGGATCGTTATTGATTATATATATTTTTTTCTCTCTTCTAAAGTGTAATAATATATGATTACAGTGTTAATAAAAAAAACTTTATAGTTTAATATTGTTTATATTATTATTTAATAATATGTGTTTGCATAATATAATATCACAATATAGCCGACCCATGTGTGTACACACACGCGCAATAAATATAATATAATACACGTACAATCTATATACATGTATACGCGTACGCGGCGAGAACGATTTCTACCACACAATCAAAGGTCCTCTCGTGCTGTATCATAGGAGGTATACCTATATACGAGTATATATATATATGTGTGTGTGTAATATGTGTGTATAATATAACATGTGTTTATATGTGTGTTTTTCTCCGCCTTTCCCTGTCCGTTCGTTTGGCCAGCGCCATGAAACACTGTACAACAAAACCGCGGGCAAAACATTATAACGTTATCCTCCCCATTCTAATAAAACTTTACAATTCGTAAATTATTGTGAAATTCATTTCGACACACAATGTGCATTGTATGTGTCTGTGATTCATACTGTAATACTGCCTATTACAAGAGGTAAATCGGTAAATCCATAGACCTTAATATCTTCATTACCTTCTATGATCTGTAAGTACCTATATCACTATATGTATACTCAGTTATCTATGTGATGAGTTCATTTATTTACTAGTCTACTATAGCATACGTCCTATGGGTAAATCATTTATGGAAGTCAGTGTACAAATTCTTAGTAATCTTTTGGTAATCCTGGAAATGTATTCCATGACTGAATATCGATCGTGTAAATTAAAAAAAAAAATTCTTTCCAAGTACCACTTGTAACTTAAACATTTAAAAATCATTAGTTTTTAATCATAGTTTTTCTAATTTGTACACTATAATACATATTTTTTGCTAAAATTATCATAACTACAATTCTGCAAAAAAAATATTAACAATTTAAAATAAAAAATTAATCGGTATTTGTAGTTTATCGTTTCGTTTTGTATACTACCTTTTGTTTCCTGTTTAACCAACAGCAGAGGATGAGGCTCTATTTTAACAATACTATTCTTCTGCTGCCATAGTTTATTGGCGAAGTCTTGTAAACCACCTATAATACCTACTTATTTTGATTAATCATTATGATAAACAGGTTGTTGCCTGCACATAGGTAATATGTGTATATTTATTCATTATTTTTCCCACTACAAGCAATATACGTATATTATATTATTTTAATATGGTAATCTACTCGTATATTCTATAAGTATATATTTTTTTCTTACTGCAATAAGTAATTTCTAAATAATGATTCATTTAACAATCATTGTGTTAAAGAAGACACAACAATTTTCATCGTCCAAGTAAAGAAAAAGTATCTGTTAATGGACTTACGAGTATCTGTGTCTGTAAGTTCTTTTAAAAATGTTTTCCCTAGTTTTTCAGTCAATAAAAAATTGGCAGAAAAATTAAACTTATTTAGGCATTTAAATGACTAGAAAAACAACAAAACTAAATTAATTTCAAATCTTCTTAAAAAATCACTGGCTAGTTATAAAAAAAAAAAATAACCACCCCATAAGGCTACCATGTATTTTAATATAATATTCTTATAAACAAATTATTTTTTATTTGCTGATGAGCCAACTCACTCAAGGATTCTGAGTTTTTTCGTGTATTAAGCCATTCAAATGTGAACGCATAATAATTTAATAAAATGACAGTACTCATTTGCTTAAAATCCCTGTGCGCTATTTTTTAATATTTCAATTAAAATTGTATTTTACAATACAGTGAGATAAAAGGTTTTTTAACGGATTTTCAAGAATTTTTATTCGAAAGCTTCCGAGTTAAATATCAACAAAAATAACATTTATTTTGAGCCAAAACTCATGTATAATAAATATAGATGCTATTTTTATTTGTCTAAATTTTTAATGGTTTGATTTAAATTTGTAAAAAAAATGTTGTTTGTATATATTGTAAGTAGCATGCTATTAGATATTTATCCTCTGCAAGGAAACTTGAGGTCATAGCTGATTTACTTTCAGGTATAGTGTAGTGGAAAAATATCTAGTTGTGTGCTACATTTTGTTAGGAATTTAATTTAATTTAATTTTTTTTTGTTTTTTTCGTTGATGAAATTAGAGTTTCTATGGCAATAAACAGAGCGTTACAAAGCCACGAGAAAATTGGTTAGAAAAAAAAGTAGTACTCAGTCGAAAACATATCTATATAACTTAGACCTATAAATCTTATGAATAGACATGATACAAATTAAGAGGTACTAAAATAAATACAGTTCGAGTTATAACGTCATTAAATAGATAATATCGAGTTAAATATCGACAAAAATGTGTTTTTTTTTCAAATTGAAATTCGTTCTAGATTAATGTTACAATGTAATCGTATAAAATTTAATGTGTTAGTTAATATTCCGGTTTATATTTTGATCGTCAACTTAATTATTATATAGAATAGAAGGATGGAAGCAGAGGCGGTTAAAGATTTTGTCATGTTGGGTTAGCAGTTGATACATGCTTACTTTAGACATACATATATCCTCAATCCCCATGTCCTATAGTATTGTATAATTATTTTTTTTATTATTTACAGTTGTACTAATATTAATCAAGAATCCAGATCTAATTATTTTTTAGTGACAATTGTCAAGCTACTATAACAATAAATTGTACTAATTGATAAATATTTTATGATAGTATCAATTTTCATTACAATATAATATAATATACTATCAGATTATTATACCTTCGTCGATTGTGGTAACTGCTTACGCACTGAACATCAACCTTTAATAATGATTTCAAGAGTAAAAGACTATGATTAAAATTAAATAAATATAGTTCGTGTAATTATATCATTAATCACATGTTCACATTATAATAAATATAAAGTAGGCCAAATTTCGGATAAGTTGCAAAAGATCTGAATTATATAGTAATTAAATAGTAGAATAAACAATAATATACATATTGTAATAAATTATATTTATTGGACTGGTTTGTAGATCCTGGTGCAAGTGATGTCATCGACAGTCAGGACCTGAAAATTGAAAAACACAGAGTTATTAACACCGAGTTATTAATATTATATTAGCTATTACAAGGTTCCGTATAGTAAAAGATATTATAACTTTGTAAAGAAATTTTTAGGTTTTCCGTACAAGTTTTGGGTTTTTGTGAATGTAGGATTATTAAAGGTACTTATGGTATATTTAATTTACTCAATTGATATTCTCTCCTTAAAATGTACCTATTGTATGAATCGATATTTGTGAATTATTTTGGTTGTATTATTTCGTTACTGCAATAAAGACTATAAATAGCTTAGGGTGGCACTTATGCTGATCATGCAAATTGTAAGTAATAAACGGAAAAAAATGTCCATTTTTTAAAAATTATATTTGTAATTCAATTTGATTTTTTCAACAAATCTCGGTTGATTGTTTAAATTTTGTTCAATCTACTGTGAGAAATTCGGATTCACAAATTCCAAAAAGAGAAAGTTCGACATATTTTAAACTGTTCTCACAACAATAATTGACCAAATATTACAACTTATAAGATCTTTAAATTAATTGTTGAGTAGATTAGATTTTTATCACCTGTTTCAATTTACTTTTATAATTTATTTACGTATGTACATGTTCTAGTATACGAGTAACTATTGCAAACGCCAAACGCTGATGGATTATTGTTATAAATTAAAAATCATCTTTTTATAGTTAATCATATTATTATACATTGAGGCCAGTAACAAGACTTAAATACTTAATGGATTGCCTGTTATAAGAATAATAACTAATGTATAAATACATAATACGCCACTATAATGCGTATACGACAAAACCTCAATTTAAATGACTCCAACAAAAAGTCTTTTTATATAAATATAATACATTTTGTCATTTAATTGAAGTATCTATATTATTGTTATTGTATGACCATCTTTAAAGTGTTTGGTTATTGTATCTAGCCCCCCCCCCTCCCCTTGTTTGTAAGTGGTGTATTTCATTGTACTTTTACCATTTTCAATTGTTCGGGCTCGAATTCTCTAACGATCGTGGTGTCGTTGTGTTTGTCGCATTTTTGGGTGTGCACCAGCTTGTTTCCGTCCTGGATGATGGTTGACTTCACTTTGCGGCCGTCGGGTGTCTCTTCGTCGAATTCTTCATTGAGTTTGAACGCAATCGACGAGTTTTTGAACGTCGAGTTCGACGACAACACAAATTTGCCGTCATCGCTTTTGGTCAGCTCCACCACCGGAGATACGGTATTACCCAATTTGCGGGTCATCATTCCAACACCTGCAAGACAAAATAAAAACCGCATGGTATAGTCAAAACTGTTCAGTAAAAAAAACAAGTATTAATTGCCTCAGCTGCAAGGAAAACAATAAATCATAGATATCATGTTTTTAAGAGGGGATAATAAGTCTATGAAACAGTTTTTTTTAGAAGTCGCTAATAACGTAAGTTATTATACTATTATGCACAGGAGGCTAAGAACAACCTAGGTACTGTAAAGAAAAATTGACGACATAAAATCGGTCATAAAATCAATTTCTAGTGGCAACATATAATAGGTATTACAAAGACAAATAGGTCAGAAAAAAATAACATAGCCAAAAATATGCTAAAACAAAAGTTCTCCATTGTATTATAGTATACCGATCTGGCAATGGTCGGAATTGTGGACTTAAAGTAATTATTCAAAAGCATTTGGGGAACCGATTTCATATAAAGAAATAACTTCCAAAAAATGAAGCATGGCCAGATCTAAGAAGTTCTTCTAAATACACTTATTAATTTATTAATAAATGTACAAAATACTTGGTTAATAATAATATATTAGTATATAATTAATAAAATAATTTTTTTTAATATTAAGTATTGACTGTGTATAGTTTAATTCTCTCTAAAACTAAAACTAGTGAGGTACAATGCTTCAAAATAATTCAGAAGCAAGTATACCTGAGATAGTTATAGTAGGTTTACCTACTTAATGCTACTCCGTACTTAATGAGGAAAAAATTAATTAATTTAACGATTTTATCTCGATAAGACTAATTATTTTACAAATCAAATCGATTTATTCGAGGCACGTTGAGAATACGTCAATGACGTGGTTATAAAATACTTCACATCTATATTCTACAACTTCAAAGTTATAAGACGCTCGGTACAAACTACAAACTACTAACTAGTTTAGCAGTTTATACCTAGTAATTTGTATTCATTATTAATAAACCTAACGTGTAGATGTGTTCGTATAGTTGTATAATATCTAGCTAATAGCTATACCATGTTTTGGGTTTGAAGTATAGTACGGTGTTCAATATTTAAATTTCTCGATGCAAATACTTGCAAATAACTTGCAAAATATTGTCGAAGATTTAAAAAAATTGCAGTACATTTGGGAGAGCCATTACCCAACTTCACTAACATTACAAAAACATTATTTATTGCGTATCATTGTCATTAAAACATTCACGTTATAATATTATAATGATAATTACTGTGACACTCTTTACTCAGGTAGGTTTGAGTATTGAATAGCTCTTACAAATCATATTATTTTTATTAATATAAAAGTAAATATTTTCTGTAGTTGAATCAAAATGTTAATATTATTTTATTATTAAATCAAAAACTTGTTGATTATTTGTGCAATGGTTGTCCCTTTTTTTTAAAAAAATGATGAATTTATTTGTATAGGTGCCTTAATAGATTAATGGCTAAACGTATATTAGGTAAACACGTTAACATAATATTTTTATCAATAGTTAAATATTTTTAACAAATTAAAACGGCATGAGTTTCGAAGGTACCTATATAATTTATATATTCATGTTTGATCCATGACAATTAAGTACCTACATCGTATATCACGTAAGTATATGCGTTATTATACTAAGTATTTCATATTTTGAACGGAATACAATAACAGACTAACTTCATAGGTGCATATAGTTGTGTAGAGAAATTCTAGTACCTATATTTTCTAAGTAAAAAAATATGACAGAGAAAGGAAAACAGTTGATTGATCACGTATTGACAAGTATACATACAAACAGATAATATTATAGGAAAAACGATACTTTGCATCTGCATAGTAATTTTTTTTTGCATTACTTGCAACAATAACAATGTGTATACCTATGACAAAAATGATAATTTTACCTATGTAATGGCAAAAAAAATTAGCTAGCCGCAGTGTAAAAATAATAATGCGCTTTCTTCGTTTCGGTAAAAGAATTTCACCGGTGGGCAATGACCGCGTTCCCTGCTTAAGGTTCAGATCCAAAGTAAAAAGTAGAAACTATTTTTTTAATTTTAGACCAGTCATGAAAAAAAAATCATTAGTAAAATTATGCATGTACTAATATACATATTATTATATTATATTATATATAGGCTATAATAGGCACCATTCATATAAAAATATTCTTAATTTTTCCTAAATTATTTTTAATTTTTATTAAAATGTAATTGAGTTTCGACTTAGAACGGGGGTAACCTTTGCATAATATTAATTATTATGGATAATCTAATAATAGTTATTATAAAATTACATTTACATTTAACACCATAATAAGCGACACGTGAATGAATTCAAGTTATGCGTATAGAATGTGTTTATAATTATTAGCAACATACAATGTACGTGTACCTACTTGTACATTGCAATAGCTATACAGTCCACACTCTCTGCTATGAAAGAGGTAGCCAAACTGTGGTAACCGGTAGCTGGTAGCACCTACTCGAAAAGCCACACAAATACACGATAGCTCCGAAAAAAAATTGTATTTTTCATTTTTATTCTTCATTTTTATTTATAATTGTATTTTTCATTTTTATCAATTCCGATATTATTTAAATCGAATTTTATATTTTGTGTAAGTAATTATTTACCAATTGTGTACATTATTATCGTTATCCCAAAATAATTACTGACAACGAAGTTTGTTCTATAGGTATAATAGTAGAAATAGATCCTTTCGTTTAATCGCTAGTCTGTAATTGTAATGTACCTATAGGTACAGATGAATAATGTTTAAAATTTACAGCTGTTGAACTGCTACATGCACACTGCTATTATTATTTAGGTTTTGTATAACACGAAAAAAAATGTATCTATATTTAAATAAATCGCTTTTAAAAAAAAGCGAATTGAATTTTAGAAAAAAAGTTACTTAGCCTTGTGTCATTGCTCCACTTATAAAATTGATGAATTAATATATAGGTATGTGCTATGCATATTATATGATTATTAATGTTAGTATTTATCATATTATAAATTCTAATAAACTTCATTGAATATTTTACAAGCCCATTAAATTATAAAATCTTTATTATAATATGATATACAAATATAGTAGAAACTTTAGTAGTATTTAGAATAAATGCTTAATTTTACGCACTACGCGAAATAAATCAATCAAAACAACAAGCGCTTGGCTGTACCAAAATATGACTTGCCTATATTATTTAAACTAAACTACTAAACTATACATACCTAAATAATGTTGTATAATGTAAAATGTAGGTATGGCCGGTATGGGTACATTGTACAGACACCTCGAGTCATAATATGACTATACAATAGTGAAGGATTTATTTAAATTAAAAATATATTATAATTTTTATACGATAACTTAATAATAATACAAATGTATGATTTATATCAACGAGGCACACATGCCGACACATTTTAATTATTATACCTATGACATAATATTATAATCTTTTATAAAAAATTATGTATAAATCGAGATCCAAATGTTATTATTATTGACATGCACCGCAAAACAATATTTTAGGAATATTTAATGTAAGTACATAATTATATGTATATTTAAGGTAAAAGTATCAATGTAGGATACTAGGATAATAACCTTAAATGTTGAAGCCTTAACAGTTAAATAAAAAAAATATATATGTATTAAATATCATAACGTTCTCACGTCAGTGACGGATCATTGGTAAATTAGTTATTTAATGGTTTTTTAAAAAATAATTTAAACACACAGAAGCGTGGGGCGTTGGCTGTCGGGTTGTTACATATACCTAAAGGGTTGTTTACTTGCGTATCACTCGTCGCGTTTCGTTATAATATGCGGGGAATATAATACATTAACCATTGTAATGGCAATATGATGAATTTTTTTTTGTCGAAAAAAGCGATGAATTAACACTCTTGACATATTATGTAATACTATGGTCACGTAATAATGTAATATATTGAATTTATTACGTTAAGGGTCGCTGCCACTCAATAATCTCTCTCCAAATATCCATTAGATACTATATGAATATTACATAGGTATATATATTGAAAATAAACTCGCCGCTCTAGTTTTTACGCCCGCAGGGAGCAAAAAATGTCTTAGTAATTGTATTTGAAAAATGCGTGATTTAAAGTAAAACGAAAATGTTATATATTATTACTATCGAATGTATTTCCCATGTAACTATATAATATTTGAATGGGAAAACGCGCTGTTATGATTGATATAAAAAAAAAAAATTGGGTCATAAAATGTGACTTATTACCGAACAAATTCTGAAAAGAGTTAATGTATAATATGCTCGTTTTACTCGATTATTATGTACATATTATAGTATTTTAAAACATCAGCTCGACCGGTTTAAAGCTATACGGAATCGATATTCGTTGTACATCTGCATCTCACTGCTGCAGCCTGCTGCCGTGCAACGGTAAAGATGGTTTTCGGAAAATGTATCACCGAAACCTCTGGTGTACTCGTGACCTACTTACACGGCTGTAGCGGAACTACAGGGTTGGTGGGTGGTGGGTGGGGGGGGGGCGTATGCGGTGATGGTGTGCGCGCGTGTATAGCCACCGTCGCCGTAATCATTAAAACGAGCTCGGTCGAAGAGAAACGCTCGGCGGCGTACCTATAATAATAATAATAATAAAATATTAACGTTTTATACGCACAGCTGTTATCGGTCTGTCGTACGCCGATGATAGTAAATACTAATATTATACAGTCAAATACTTAAATCTCTAAAACGTGTAGCTCGCATGAATTTAGATGACACCTAGCTTAGATTAGTATACAATATTGTATACATCCGTCATGACGACATAATATTCCTACCGTTATTATAATTATGTCTGTATACGGACGGTCACGCGACGTGCCTGTAATATCTATGAGTGATATTTAAATACAAATGTCACGATTAGAAAAAAACCAACAGTCCGTGTGCGAAAAGTGCAGTAAAGTCACGGTGTAGAAGATAACAATATTGCTATTATGATGAAACAACAATAGTAGTAATAAATACCGAAGATATAAATGCATGCACAGGTATATCTGCGAAATAATCTTACCCAAAGCTTTCATGTACTCGTCGAACTTTTCGCTGGAGCTCAACTTGTATTTTTTGTTCATGAAAGCTTCCATGGTGGCGGGCCCGGGAAAGTGAAATAAAATCGAACGACGACGACTGCGAAAACGTATATAATTATTTAAATAGTGTACGCGTGTACTCGGGTACTATTCCACCGCGGTATTCGAAGGCAGGTAGAGGTGGGCGGGCAACTGCTGCAGACGAGAGACGAAGAACGAATGTGCGACACCGAGCCGGCGTGGTGGATCGTGTGCAGAACGATATTAGAAAATATATATATATATACCGACGAGGAGCGTCGTCGGTCCCACTACTACGCTGCGTACGTTACAATATTATATTATTATGTTGTACCCATATTATTATCATCGACGGGTGTCCGTCCTATTTTACGTGCGTCAAGACGGCGTCTTCCCGGCGTTCCCCGTTTCGATGTTCCACCAGTGATAACGCGCTGATAACAGCAGGTTATGATGTTATTACAATAATATATTAATGTTAATGACAATAACAATTATTTCCGTTATCACCGCGCGCTTTCGGGACGCTTCTCGTTCGATGGTCCATGATGGTCGTCGTGATCATTTCGGTGTGAGTACCTACTGAGTACACTCACACATGCGCACAACAGTGCAAAGGTTATAATATAGGACCGGTCAATATACATATATGTGTATTGTGTATGTACGACGCGTGAGCGCAAATGCCTGCGGAGACTTTTGATGTTTTATGTGTAGTATGAATGTGTTATACTAATTTGAGATTACTAATTGCATCTTGTAAACGGTTCGATTGCAATAATAATTGTATGCCCATAATATATTACGTAGCAAGTCTGTCAATCAATGTGTTTGTAATCATTATTAATTAATAATAACATAATATAATAATAGTACCTATATCGTAATCGTTTTCGTAATTTAACCGATGGTCATACAATAATAAAGGCACACATTGGACTTGAGTGCAAAGTGTGCCAATACAATATTATATATATATACATTTATCAATATATTATACTCCATTATACCAACACTATTCCTATCATAAGTAAAGGCCAGTATCATATAGAACAATACAACGAATGACGATATAATAATATATTGGCGTATGAAGCAATTGCATAACCATAGCTTAAATCGTATAAATGCAATCAAATTGCTGATGTAAAAACAATACGATATTGGTCCAATTATAAAGATATTTATATTTCTCAATAAACATTTCCGGAATAACTTAAGGCCAAAGACAAAAAAATACAATGTACCAATTAAAATGTATACTTTTGCATTTTTTTAAAGAACTTATAACTGTTACCTACAACAAGTGTCTACGAAAAAGTATCAAAATAAATAGATCAGTAATGTCAATAGTACGAAGGTATATTTTTTTAAGGATATTCTTTGATGTTGTTTTTCCGTGAGGTTGTGAGAACAGTGTATAACATCTTATGGGCTATAAAATAGTATAAATTATAGCCATGACCGTCAATGTAAATTTTATTTTTGAACGTCTTTCATCTATTTTCATAAATTATTTTAGTGTGTCCAATACTCAGAAAAGAAAATAAATATTAAATTGTATCGTTATAAAATAAATATTATACTTTTAAATTTAATAAAAATAAAAGCCTTTACACGTATCACCATTTATGTTTTACTTAAGTATGTTGAACTATACTGAAACTAGATATAACGTATTACTTATTAAATATACAGATTTATCGTTGGTATTAGGAATTGACACAGATTATATAATATGAAGAATACTTCATAAATTCAATATTTTATTTTATGCGGCCATTGATCCGAATTATATCAAGTTTAACTGCTTCAATAACTTGTTTTAAACTTTTTTTTAGATTATGATGTTACAATGATGCGTTTTTTGTGCCTATCATCAGTTTTTACAGGAGTAGTAAAAATGCTTAAATTGTATTGTGTCTTGATATCACTTCCATTACTATACAGTGACTCACACAACACCTAATAATGTACTTCAAAGCGGTACCCACCATCCCACCTTTTTTATGTACCTATGATTCAACAAATTATTAATGCTATATTGTTCCCATTTTTATCCACGTAAATAAACAAAAAGAAATGTATTTTTTTTGTTAACCATTTTTGGTACGATATATACCAATAACGGATAAATTAAAAAAATAAATGACGATATTATAGTTAGGTGGCCTAATTTATACACCAAATGTTGAATATAAACTTTAAAATGGGGGACGAGGTGACCGAGTGGTCTGACGCGTCCGCTGCGACGCAGCCGATCGCGGTTCGATCCTCGGCCACCGGGCGGCATTTTTCTCCGGACAAGTCGCGGTGACCGGAGAACAAGTGCCGCCATCCCCCAACCGGGCATGGCAGAAACCTACGGGTGCCCAATAGAAATTCTGCCAAAACAAAAACACACACGTGTTCCCCCCCCTACAGTCCCAAAACTCTACAGTAGCACACAACCTACAGCTAATGGCCTCAGTTGCCGAAGCTTAAATCAAAAAAAAAAAACTTTAAAATACAAGAACTAACATCGATAAATTAATTCAGACATTTATCAATTTTCATTTACCACAACAAGTAAATAAACTTTGCATTTATTGAATTATGTAGTACATTGCCTCTGAATGTGTATCAAAAAACGTGTACCACCAGCAACCAACTAGTGAAACCTTTTTAAATTTCCAACTAGTCGGTTTTTTAATTATTATACATAATGATACGGTGTCTATACACTACCAATAGGCCCAAACGTTAAATGCAGAGTGAAATGCAGTCGTACAGGATGTTTGTAAATAATAACATTGAATATTAATCATGCAGTATAATAGGTAGTTAATAATAAATGATTAAATACGTATTAACCATTAATCAAACATTTTTCAAATTCACTGCTGTATTTCTGATTCATAATTACGAGTTACCCACTAGATACTAATAAAGTATTAAATTAGAATAGCACAATTGTTAAACTAAACAAATGTAATTTAATAAAACAACTATGAAATATGGAGTATTATAAATACTTAAATATCATAGTATTATTACTTGACAGTTAACATATACAGTATATTTGTAAGTACTTAAATATCACAGTTTTGGTAGAAATTGAAGAAAGTAAAAGCGAATTAAAAGTGTCTGGAAAATTTGACGATTGGTCATTTAAATCATTTAACAGTGTCAAGTCCTTCAAATATATTTTGCAGGTACCAATAAAACATATATTATAGTTTATTGATTACTATACAGTATACATAATATAAGCAATGAAAAGACATTAATTTTCATAAAAATATTCTATTAAAATATTACTAAAACTTCAGAAAACTACATTTAAATTGCTTTAAGAATACACACTAGTAGTCAAATAATAGGTAATAAATATATTATAAGTACCTATCTTCTATAAGCCATATTTGCATTTATTTTTATAAAGTGTTGCTTGAAAAATACAAACATTTTTGTTTTCAATTAATTAAATAAAAAAATCGTGTTCGAGGGTGACGATGGATAAAAATATTTAAATTTAACTATATATTGAAACGTAATTTTATGTTCATATTAAAATAGTTTCTTAAAAAAATTTCTAAAGGTTTTTTCATAGTATATTGGCAGTGTTTTATAAGACATTAATAATGATTTAATATTAAATATCAAAAAAAAAACGTTGGGAACGCGTCAACGGATAGGATGTGTGTATAATAATACTCATAATACGATTAAGGAGTATTTATTTAAGGTATACACGTATACACTTTTCCTCGATGGATAATATAATATTACACAGATCTATGATGACTTACCAAGAGCTTTCATGTATTCGTCGAATTTGTCGCTGGACTCCAGCTTGAATTTTTTGTCGAAAATCAGAGACATGATTGTAATATATGTGGTATACTGGTATGGCCGACTGCGGTTCGGGTCTGATTCCCAATAATATAATATATATTATACTATATAAGAAGCCGCACTTTTAATGAATGTATAGCTATAGCTGAAGTTTAGAAATTTTCGATTTGGCCGTCTGACGATCACTGTACGCGAGCGCACAGGTGTCACGAGTATTTATAGCAGTCGGCGCGCGGTGGAGGCATTTGCACCGATTTCGAGTCGTGCGACTGGTCCAGTCGGCTTCAACGAACGAGAAATAAAATTATTGTACAATGCACCCGCGCCACTGAACACAAAATATATTATTATAATACATAATATGGGCCTAACCCGTCCTTGGCGTCCAATTAGCAGACCATCACAGACCGACACGGGTGCACTCATCACTGCATTCTAATAGTATTACACTCTTCCATATCATTACATCGTATATAACGTTGTGTGTGTGTGTGTGTGTGTGTGTGTGTGTGTGTGTGTGTGTGTGTGTGTGTGTGTTTGTACGAGAGAGAGTAAATCACTTACATAGGGGCGTTTATGATTTTCAATTTTCGAATTATTAACTCGCGACGACAATAATCGCGCCTAGTACATTGCGCTACTGCATTGTACACTCGCATTATTGTCATTCTACTTACTATGAACAATATTACACTATACTTAAACGTTAATCGGACCTCACGTAGCGACGACAACAATCGGAACGCACGCTGAGCGTAATACGGTCGCGATGACGCCCTGCAGTCGAAAATTCAAAACGTGTACATGTTACATGTACATATCGCGATTCTATTACCTATATTGTTTTATGATTTTATATTGAGATTTAGGATATAGGATTAGAGAAAACCGTAGCAAAACATTATCTTACAGTTATATTATGTATAGGTACTTACAGCCGTAATATGACGTTTTTAAGTTTAAAACTTCGTTGTTTGTACAGATTTAACATAATAACGTTGTTTATTTGTTTGAATTATCCATATATATTTTGGTATTTTTCACCTTTTGTCGTTTGATCAACACGAATCCTATATTATAATAAATAATATATTTTATTTTGTATCCATTTATTTTTTGTTGTGATTTTGAATACCAATCATAATTTTTATATGATTAAGGATACTAGAACAATTTGCAAAACTACACGTCACAAAACGATACTTGATTAGTACCTATGGCCTATGGTCTGCTATGACTAATAAGTATACGCCATACGGCCATGAAAACTATACACAATGTGTACATCGTGTCGTTGTTGATAAAATTGTTCTTGTAACGTATATTATAAGTATCTGTGCAATATTAAGAAATACAATACGTTTGTTGTTTTACAAATCGTAGAATTATTAACAGAATATTGGATATCCAATTATGATCAAGTGGATCAACATTTATATGATATATGCGTAAAAAATAAACAATATAAATACGTATTAAAGTCTCTTAATAAAATGATTTCAAAACGCTTAAAACTAATTAATTGCAATCCTATAAAATGTATGGGCGCTGCAACAGAACCCTTTTAGGAGTAAATCCGTACATTATTGGGCGTAATATTTCCCTTTTTAATTGCACGTTTGGGCACATATATTTCTTTCCATATATTTGCATATTATACTGATTCTGACTTCTGAGCCTATTAGCGTTACCCAAAAGACATCGAGGTTGGCTAATAGTCTTCCAAAAATATTCAAATGTATATATATTTTTTAAACGTCCTTGTTTTATTCTTGTGTGTATTTTTTTAATTTCTGATCAGTTCAACTCATTTTTATGTTATTCATTAACTTTTTGCAGCAAAACGTTGTAATATTTTTTTTTGTAATTTCGTGTATTTTTTTTTTCTTTAAGATAAGTTTCCCAACATTTTTGTTCAAATTTTAATTTTTCATTAGTTTCTTTTCTTAATGTATTTGTTATATTTCCTCCAATACTGCTGATTTTGAAATTTACCAAATTTCGATGAATGTACATTTAAAATATTTGTATGATTTGGACGTTGCTTATAAAACTGTCGGTTATAATCTGAATGAAAAGATTCCGGGCCATTAGTTGTACTTGGGTATGAAAATGGCTCCTCGGCAAAGACGAGAGGTAGGAATTTTAAAACCTTAAAATATATATAAGTATTAAGTATGTACATAATCAGAAAAGTTTACCACATCAGGAGGAGCTATGAGCTTGAGCTCTACAACACCATGTTGAACCTCACCAGACTCTAAATCAACCATCAAACGTGTTATCATTGTTATGCCCAAAATATATACTTGTTTTCGTTCTCTAGAATATTTTAATAACCAATTAAACCATGTGAAGTTATCGATTTAAAACGATACTTTAAATGAATATGATACCTATATCGATTCAAAGTACAAATATTAACTTTTTTGTAAAATATTCATATAATATTTAGGGTTATAGTACATAATAATCATAACATAAAATCAAATAAATGCGTTTTTGAATGCAGATCATCTCGATATCGATGCTAAATTCAAAATAGTATAATAATAATATTTTAATGTAATACTAAATACGTATTAAATGCTTAATATACTGTTTTGCTATCTGAAAAAGCAATATCATGTATTGTAAAGCTATCAGTATAAGGCAATTTAGATCATTTGGGAGGTTATTGGTTAATGATGGCTTCGAGAGGGTCAGAACTTTTTAGATATTTTTTTGACCCAGTGCTATTTCTCTAAAAGAAATGTTTACTTGACATATTTTTCAACAGTTCACCAATTAGGTTTATTCATTATTAATATTATTTTTCTCTTTTAAATTCGGACAACTAGTAATAAGAAAATGTATTTAACGACAACCACAAGTTGTTCTAATTCTGCAATTGCATTTTTGATCTACTATTCCTGTACGCTGAAGTTGGCACGCAACATTTGTAACCCATTTAGATTCTGATTGATGCGCAATAGGAATGCGTATTATTGATTTCAAATTTGAAAATGTTATCACGTCCAGAACATGAAGTATAAATGTCGAAGACATTTAAGAAGTCGTTCGAATTTTCTCCTATATAAGTACTGATGTACCTACCTATTTATACCAGCCAGGCTATAGGACTGGGGCTAGAAAATCCATATAGAATTTGAAATATTTGAAAAATTTTCCCTTGCAATGACCTTGCAATAGTGTTGGCAAATATATCGAATAAATAAAACAAACGAATGATTGTAATACCAACATAGGTTTATAAGTTTTGCTTTTAATATTATTGATAAATCGAGGTCAAAAGTCTTAAAAAAATTAACAACTAGCCTCTAAAAAAAAAGTTTTTGGTATGAAATAACTGTCAAAATGCTTAGTCAATTATTAATACCGATAATAAGCAATAACTAAATAGGTATTTCTACCTACTTAAAAAAAAATCAGTCCAAAAGATAATAATATTCATATTTCATAGCATTAAGACATTTATAAACTGTTTCGAGGTACAATAAAAATAAGTATAAAACATAAAAACTTTTAAAAATACGCATTTCTAAGGTTTGTTGATTAAAAACAATACTGTAATATGGTTAGGGTGTAATATTAAAATATTACCTACCAATAAATATAATATTATTTTTGAATCGAATCGAGATTTTCTTTTTAACGATTCTAATTAGTAAATGTTATATAAGAGTTATGTAAACCAAACTGTTGTATGAAAAACATAATAAATTAGAGGTAATGTATGTAGAGATTTTGTGTTTGTAAAAAAATGTGATATATTTTCGTATTTTTAAAAATACGATAGGGAATTCAACTAATTAAAAACTAAGAGATTTAAAACATTAAGCAGGTATAGTATTTATAATCAGGTACCTATACCAATATGAATAGAACATGTTAATAATAATTAAAAATAATAATAATTATGACAATAATTGTATTTCTGTAATTTCTTATACACCGACAATCTGTTATTTTCGTAAACCCAATAAAAATAAATACATATTGTTGGATGATGAATTACGTTACAACTAATACAAGTGTTATATAATATAAACATGTACACCTAGTTATTGTATAAAACTATAAAAGTACCTATACAAAAGTGTTCTGTAAATAATAATATGTAATAGAAAGGTTTAAATGATAATCCATATCGAGTTTGAAGAATACTAATTTATTGAAATGTGTTCTCTACACAAATATACGTATAGCTCTTATTATGATGCTTTATGGGTGCTTACATCAGATTCACATAAAAAAAAAAATGAAATTGACGTGATTGAGGAGATGTAGATACGAAACAAACATAAACAAAATCGTATACCTACGTAGATATAATTTAAGAGTAGTTTTTCAGAGATAAATTTGATCCTCCGGCAAACATACGTAATTCGTAATCATACGAGTATAAAAGTCAAAAGACAAACATAAACACTGCAGTATTATAACGCTTCAGTTATGATGTACTTGGGCACGTAAATTTATGTCACACAATATTGTTCAGTTCTATCAAACATTCGAAAATATATTATATACCTGCTGGTATAGATTTAGAGTTCGTTAGGTTTTGGATACTGTTGTGTTGTCGTCTGTTTTAAATAGTCATTATGGTAAGTTTTACTTTTTTTTCCTATGATAGCCGATTAGTTTATTATATTATAATTTACCAACTATTCTACGTATTTTATTACTTTTGATTTGATTTTTATAATCATGTCGAAACATTAACAGCAGAACATTGAGAATAGTTTAACTATATTTTATGTCGATCGCGCACCTAGGAATTCGAACGGTTATAAATAAAACCGATTATTAAAAATGTAAGAAATTAATTAGTTGAAATAATTTGATATGAAAAAATTAACTTAATTTACATGACTTACACGAACAATTATGTATTTTATAAAGTTAAGTACCTACATTTCAACATTTATAATGAAATGTGCGACATATACGATATACATAATGTACGTTATATTATGTGCATTAGATAATACACTATTTCAGTATACTCAAAACTTTACTTTGTAAATAAATTGTTTTGTGCACCACGTTTTAATCTTTAATTAATTGTTTATTAAAACACCTTTTGTTAAAAAAAAAACATACTTTAATATTATTTTTATGTGTAAGTTTTATGTAATTACTAATTTGGCAGTAATTAAGAGAACGCTTCGACCGCAGTGTTGTTCCTGTCTTACGCACGCGTCTCATGGCAAAACTTCGTACCGGATTCTTACTACAGTTTATTTATGGTCAATATTTTAGAAAATTATATATTATCTAATGTTAATATTTTAATTTTATTTGAAGAGAATATAATCTATAGTTCACAAGTGATAAGTTTTTTAAACATTTTTCTTTAAGATTAAATATAAATATACCTATTCAAATAATTTATTTTTAATTAATATTTATTTTCAAATTTATGTAACTCGTCTTAAAATAAATGTGTAAAAAAAACTCTTTGCTCGGCACAGTTTATATTTTCCTCTTCTATACAAATTCGATAATACTTATGTAAATTTTCTATAGCATTAGTTAACTAAAAATAAACTGTAGTAAAAAGCGTACGTATAGTTTTAATACATTACGCATCACGCGTCTGTATGACAGTGACAACCCCTGAGGGTATTGCGCCATCAAAAAATATTTTTACTGTTTAGGGCTTTAGGCTGCAGAGCATAATATTCAGTATAAATTATTGTATTGACATGATTTATTTTACAATCCTACAAAACTTAATGAACTGCTACGCTAAGTTTACGTGTATAGATTTATTATTGGTAAATTATTTGAGGGGTACAAGGGCGTCACCTCAATACCTCATCTAGTAACTAATCATCGACTCGTCACACAATAAGTAAAACATGTTCTCTATAGTTATTAATTTAAAACTGTAATTTTATAAGGAAATCGTTTGGGTGCTTTGCTGATGTGTATTATATATACCTAATTAGAATAAAATGATTCGTAATAATGGAAAAGAGCCGCGTCAGCCCTGTGTAGGTAATGTACGTCACCTATCGAGATAATATTATTTAGGTTACTGCGCGCGAAATCCCTCTGAAAAACACTAAATAAAAAACTGTAGATTATGCACCAGCTGCGCACATAAAAAACATCGACAACATCTCGCTGTTAGCGTGTTAAATAATATGTTCAGTATATTGTCGTCGAGAGGAAGAAATATTAAATAAAAAAAAGGTAGGTACTATACACACAACAGTTTATATACCTACCCTTCATTGTATGAGATTATGTATATATAGGTACATGTATTTTTATATGTGTGTCATTTGTGTGTATATATATATATAATATATATTAGTGTCGTCTGTTTGGGTAATCGATTTTCAAGCACGCGAGTGAAAAATAAAAACCTCCGCTCGCCGACATCGCGTCCTGCAGCTGACTATATAAGCTAAAAGGGATGATAATAAATATACAATAATACTACGTGTAATGTCGTCGGGTGCGGGATAATAGAGGGATGTGACCAATACGGAAGTGGAGAGAAAAGAGAAGAAAGAATTAAGTCACCTACGGGCTACGATACACAATATATGGATTTAAAGTATATAATATAATGTATATACCGTATATTATTATACCGACCTAGAGAAAAGCGGTGGTAAGGCGTGGTGGGGCGGTGGCACAAAGATTTGTCGCCGCCGACACCGCCGCTGAAAATTCGATATATCGGAGGGCGGGGACCGGTCGGACGGACGCGGATGATGGAAACACTTCTTACCCTAGATAGAGAGAGAGAGAGAGAGAGAGAGAGAGAGAGAGAGAGAGAGAGAGAGAGAGGGGAGAGAGAGAGAGAGAGAGAGAGAGAGAGAGAGGAGTGAAAGAGCTAGTGAGAGAGAGGACGGAACGAGAGCGAGGAAGAAAAGGGCGCATGCGATTTTTCGTTTAAAAAAAAACCCCCCCCGTGTTTCGGATAAACTCGGTGTGCTCGTTCCCGTCGCCGTCGACGACGCCGCCGTCGCGTGAGCGTTATTTCGCCCGCCGCGATTACGAACGCTCGTGCAGTCGTCGTCATGCAGCATCTCCGAGGCCCAGCGAAAGACCATCACAGTACGTGAACACACCTCACCACTCTATCGCGATATACTATACGCATAGGAGACGACACCTTGCCCCGGCACAGAGGACACAGATTTATACACATTATTATATCGTACATTAAATTGTTGTCACTGTCGTAATTATTATTGTATATTATATAGAAAAACGTACACGTTTGTCGTCTTGATTTGACGACACGACATTTGGTGTGGAGAAACACATGCGACACACTGCACAGGGAGAGAGAGAGATATTTCGATGTAAATAATTATTACTGCAGTATATTGTATTCGAAAATTGAAACAGATTGGTCGTTGACGCAGTTCTCACGCGTTTCGGAGGCACGCGGATGTATACACGTTATATTGTATAAAGAGCATTTTGACTTACCCGTTTGGGCGAACATTTCGTTTAACTGTACCATACATATTATCATAGAATATCTATCATGGACGGTAAAATATCATCGGTATTCGAAAAATACTTTTCGCCATCACCGCTGGTGAACCAAATAAGGAATTTTGTCGTGAGTACTTTATTTAAATGATAATATTATTATAGGTACCTACACATAGATACCTAAAATATTATAATACAATATAAATTATAATTATATGTATTAATTTAATCAACTTGCATTACAGTTTAAAGTGCACAGCGACTGTACACTCTAAAAATGACTCAAGTTAGTTTAAACATTTTTAAGTGTATACACTTATACGTAAATACAATTGTAGGTACCTAAGACTAAAATTTAATTAGAACAATTTATAAACTTAAATCAAAATTATTTTCGATGTTTGTTCTAATACAGTTTTTAAAAATATTATTCACTATACAATTTTAATAAAATGTATTTATAAAAAATCTAAGCATCAAGTCGTTGTTGTATTGAAAGAAGTACATAATAATTAAAAACATTTGACAAGATTAGCCATTACATAATAATGCAACGAGGAAATATAAATTAGCATTTATGTCTATATTATGTATTCTTATTTGGCACGAAAATACATGTTTGAACAATTAATAGTGTTTGGATTCTATCCTAACACTATTTTTAATTGGGTCTAGGACGGTTTGGTTTGAAATCACACAATTTCGTTTGTTATGACAATCGTCAAACTGTCAAAGTAATTTAAAACAATAATGATGAATTGGCAAATAAAAGTTCATTACAATTCTCACAGCAATGTTTTAAAAATCATTCAAATTAACTTAAGAAAATGGAAATGCTTTTGAAATATTTATGGCGTTACTGAACATATAGATTTTCATATTCAATGTGGGTTTCATTTTTTTTTTTTTTTTAAATAGTTTTAAAATGTTTAATTCTTACTATTTAGTTAGGTTGATAAATTTGAAATTAAAATATTACGTTTTATTGAATATGTCAGAAAAAAATATAATTTAAAATAAATGATATATTTTAATTCACATTAAACGTTTGTTACGATGATGTAAAACAGTATGAATTCTACGTTTAATGGGATGTGTGTGAAATGTGAATTCTGTTGAATTAAGATAGGCACTTAAGGGTTGATATCGTTTTAAAGGTTTAATAGCTATAGACGAGACTATAGATAAAGAAAACTAATGGAATTCTAAATTGATTTATCTACATTTGAGAATAATACAAGTACTTATATATAATAAATGAAAATGTATTTTTTCCATTGTATCAAAAACCAATTAAAAATAGCGTTTTTAAGAACGTTAGGTATACATACAACATAATATATCAAAAACATTATACAATAAACTGACCTTTAAAATGTTGAAACTGAACATTTAACTATTAAAGACAATATGAGAGAAATGTTTTTTTAGGACTTCAAAATCTAAAAAATAACTGTCATCAAGATAAAATAAACTTAAACCTACAAAAACATTTAAAAATATTGATAACAAACAAACTACATTTATCGATTCAGTATAGACTTTTATTTATATAGTCATGATTAAAATTTAAAAGTATAGGTACAATGCAGCAAATTTTAATATTTTATTTTCAACTTTCTGTACACAGCTATTATTATGTGTAGTGACCTGAGGAATATTCTATAGTTAATATTCAAAAGTAAAGAAGATTTATTTATATTAAAAAAAAGATTGTTACACAAAACTCAACTCATAATAAATAACTCTATCTTGATTCCCAATAAAATTGTAAGTTCAAATCTTAAAAATATTATATAAGAAATTATAAACTGATCTTCTACACTACAAATGTTTGAATAGGCTATATCTCATATTATATATAGGTAGTTGCGTGATGAAATGAATAAAGTGGTAGACAGTTTTAAATTGACCCTTTTCTTTCCAGTGCATTAATTCTCGTATATTCCCCGTGGTCGTATTCTATACTAATTATGTTATAAAATGCTTTATAATGTTTTGGGTACCTATTCTTTGGTACTTATATTACGTACAATCGTTTCTCAATTTTTAAAAACCTTTATATACTTACTTGTTCAAGTGGTAACAGTTGTTTAAAAAGCAACATAACTAAACGTTAATTTATTATTAATAATAATCTATTATCTATACGGAAATTGTAAAATCGTGTAGTCGTTCAATTTAAAACTAAATCGAAATCAAAAACTATATTGTACATATTTTTTCGTACCTATAATAAATGTACGGGAGTATAATATATTAATATGATATATGGTTCTGTAAGAGAAACAAGAGTACATAGGCACAGCTGGATTTTTTGTTTTTGAATTTATGATTGATGCGAGGATGAACCAAAATGATAGTTGGTATAATATATTTCAATATTTCACGACCACTTTTTTCCCTGATGTAAACTTGCGAGTTGGAAAATTTAACATATTACAATTTATCGAATGTACCATTATGTTCATTAGTCATAAACTCATAAATGTATAGTGTTCAATGTAAAAAGAATACAATTTTTTCTTGATAATTTAAAGACTTCAGAAGCTAGGACTATATAGGTAGGTACTTGACACTATTGTAAAAATTAAAGAATATGCCAGAAAAATAGCAGTATCCTCATTTTACCTATAGTTTACTTTTAAACGAGTTAAACGTATTATATAGGTATAACTATTGATTATAATTTATAGTATATGAAACATTTATAATAATACATAATCGTTTAAGTGCATAATGTGAGTTCAATAAAAATATTTATGAATTTTTTGTAATAAATTAAAATATCTTATTATTTACAATTAAACGAACATAAATATTATGGTTTTGCGGATATTAGCCGCAAAACATTTCAATTCGTCACGCATCACACGGTAAATTACACTTAAAAATTTATAATTTAGATAAGGCAAAACTGATGTTTTATGTATACCAGTAATATTGTGTGTCAATAAAATAGTATTTTAGTTAGTCGTCTATAGTAGACGTAAAGTCACCCACGTGAGAATGTAGTTTGTTTTTTACTGTATAATATATAATATAGAATCGGCAAATAGACGAGCAAACACCACAAAACGTAAGCACACAACCAACTGCGGTTGCAAAACATCACGGTAATAATGTAGTGAACGGCACCGCTCCGAAACCCACGAGCAACGAAAAACCAACGGAAATCCAAATACATCCACAACCCGCTCAGCCTGCCGATAGAAACTTAGTGCATGTTACCAAAGCACAGATGAAAGGTGACACAATGTTATATATAGAACAAAACACTAATAATTGCAATTACAGTTAAAATCGTATGATTTCAAGACGAACACTCGAAAAATAGTACGAGAAAAGAATTATTCTTGCTTATATTTATTGTACATAGATTCGATACGCGTGATTCAATATAAAATTATAATATACGCTTACAAACTTTATAATATATTATATGTACATAAATAGCAAACGCCAATTTTCATATCTTTTTTTTTTATTTATACTGCAATTTTCATAATACGTACCTAATGTAATCGTTCAGTCGTGATTATACTTAGGGTACCTACTCAGAGGGATAAAAAATTTAATTTTAATTTAATATTCGATGTGTCAGTAATAACTGTTTTAAATTTAAAAAAATGTCATTTATAAACCTTAATTTATGTGTATTTTAATTAAATACTAATTAGGAAAGTATTATTTTCTGGTAAACATGGAGAGATAATCCTCCCGGAGTCGCGCATATTCTGAATAAATGTACAATATTTTATAATATTTAACAATAGCTATTTAATTGTGTACTTTTTTGTGAAATCGCTACTATTAATATTCAATTTTAAACCACAGAGTCTAATATATTGTGTGATTATAAACAATATTCTTTTCGTAAATTTTTCGAGTGTTCAATTTTTAGTTATCTAACAAATAATATTTATATTTAAAATAGACAAAGACTAATCGATTTTACATCTTCGTTATAGAATTTCAAGAAGCGTTTAGGTTATTCGATAAAGACGGTGACGGCAGCATCACTAAAGAGGAATTGGGACGAGTTATGCGGAGTCTTGGACAGTTCGCTAGAGAAGAAGAATTGGAACAAATGTTGCAAGAAGTCGACATTGATGGTATATATTATGCATTAATTTTATTAATGTATGTCTAAGAATAAATGGGTCAAATTATTTGAATAATCAAATCGAACCGAACTTGAATGACATAGACGTGAGCTCAAATATATGTGAATAATATATCAACATAATTTAATATTGCGCATAGTTTATAAGTGAATTTTACGCCAAAATAGACTCGATGATCTTGGACAGAATAAAAAAAATGTACCTTTTATTTTAATATACCAATAGTCCAATACCGCAATATCAATTGGCATATTAATAATATGATTTTTGATAATTTAAACTATAATTTTAGTAATAATAATATAATATAAACATAATAACACAATATAGTTTAAAACTCGAGACATTTGTGTTATGTACCTATCTACGATGTTTCTAATTTTTAACTTTAAACTAAAATCATTATTAAGAGGTTAACGTATTATATCAAACATTTAATGAAATGGGGCATCGTTAACATGTTCTGCTATGTTATAATATAGGCGATGGAGCGTTCAGTTTTCAAGAGTTTGTAGAAATTGTGTACAATATGGGTGGTACAGCAGAAAAAACGGCAGACCAAGAGGAAAAAGAGCTCCGAGACGCGTTTAGGGTACGTTTAAATATTATATTTTTTTTTTTTTTTTAGTTTATTATCTATCTATGGTGATGGGACAAAAAGTGGCTTAAAGATTTAATAATCCTCACAGGAAAACTGTATATTGTCACTTATACGTTTTACAAACAACTTAAAATAGGTACTCGATACTCGGTACAAAATTCGTTGTAGTTATCTAGTAGAAAAACATATCAACAAATATGGCATGCTACTAAATACTTTTCTTCTGCAAGGAAATTTGAAGAATCATAGATATGTTTTTGGATATAGTGCAGAGGAAAAATACTTAGTAGCATGCTACATTTTGTTAAAAAATTTAATGAATTAAAAAGTATATACTTCTTATATAGACTGATTTTTAGAATAACAAAAAAAACTGCATAAACTGTATAATGAATAATGATGTTATATTAAAGTATTCAAAGTTACCTATGCATATTTAAGAGCATTCGATGTGAGAAAAGTATAAAATTTAATTAAACGTGATTATAATACCTATAGGTCTTAGATTAATATTTGCTTTTCTATAAACAATGCGTTACTCAAAATCGGTTACGAAAAAAGTGTTGTTTCTAGCCCAAAAACAAATGTATGTTAAAATGTATGGAAACCTTTTAAAAATATTTTATTTATGACCTCTATGTCATCATTATTAAAATGGTGTGATATAAAATAAAATATATAATGCATTGTAGTAATTAAACAGATAGCTGATAGGTATATGTTATTTTGTCGATAAGACTCAAAAAATATATTATTTAACTACCTATCTATATACATTTTTTTTATTTAAAAAGATTTTATTTACAATTTCTGCAGTTCACAAAGTATAAAAAGTAAGTTTGATGCAAAGGACTATGGGAAGTGCCAACCGACCTGGAACTATTTAAGTAGATATTGTGGTTTTTTAATCTTAGTAGGTCTCTAGGCCAAAATATTTCTAGTTTTCCGTGTACCTACCTACAGTAGCGGGTAATGAGATGGAGGATAATTATTTAATTATTGAATTACTACAAGAGTGTAAATTAGTATAACATTTAGAGTAATTATAACTAACTAAATAAATAATTAAAAAACAATTTATGTAGTGTAAGATGTTTCTAAAAAAAAACTATTTTTATAGTCGTATGTTCAATGTACCCAACTACATATTATAATCATAATAATGTTTGTCTGCCAGTAAAACAGTAACCCTTTGTGAATTGCCATTAATTGCATATTTACATGGAACATAATAAATATACCTAGTTTGTTTTTCATTTCGAAATAGATACCGTACGAAAATATAATATATTCTTTGAGTTTTGACGATAACCTATACCTATTTTAAACGTTTTTGCACATAACATTTATTTATTACTAATATAATATAAACGATGCCTTAACAAATATATTCGGAGTTAAGTGTACGAGGACGGCGTTTTGGGACCTATAGTCTATAGTATAGACTCTATACTTACTATAGTTTAAAATAATACAGTTTCACGCGTTCACTTCTGGTTCTATGTCGTAGCGTTTTGTACATTATATTACTATCAATAGTGTTTTCATCTTCGTGTTTCCTCATATGATCGTGTAATGTGGTTGCCATCACTTAGGTATGGGGGAAAATAAAACCAGCTTATACACGTACCTTTTTATATTATTAAATTTGAAAAGCCATTAAAAATTTAGAAGAGATAAAAAGATAAACTGTTCGTTACACCATTTGTGTGTGTATATAACGATCAACGATGCGTATACATTATGACAAAAGGTAGGTACATATATATATTATGGATTTATAGCCATTAGCCTATATATATACATGGGAGTATACAATAATAATGTACAATGTATATTACTATTTTATTTACGAGGTCTTTGGTTTAACGTCCCGAGGGTAAATAAATGCATACATTAAAGTTCAGAACAATACAACTTTTGGCTTTTGACTCGGAATGGGTCTTACTATAAAATATTCAACACACTCTGAACCACGACTGCTGCGATAACTACAACTGAAACGAGTATATTTAGTACCTACATCATGAACTGCTGAAATAAAATGATTACTTCGTAGAACAATAATATCACGAAGAAGTAATATATTTGTCAACTATAACCTGCTTTTGATATCAATTAATAATAATAATCGATAAATGGGTTCGAAAAGTTGTTCATAATTCATACACCACGAGACTACGTCATAACATGATTCGTATTAACCGTACGCTGCAAATACAATCCAATTATTATTTTTCTAATAATCAATAGGTATATGAAATACTATATTATTTTAATAAAATATGAAACTTTAATATTCGATTACTGTAACCCTGTCTGAGTAATTTACCTATTATATTTACGATATTTCAAGTAGATATTTCAATAATAATTAATATCGTGGTGTACATATTATATAGGTGGGTAATATATAAATAGCAAAACTAATTGCTTTAAGCACTTTATTTGTTGTTAATATTCAATAAATTAGAAATTAATTGCAATTCTCAAATATTTAAAAACGTGTAACACGATATTTAATTAATATGAAGAAAAACCTCACAATCATGAAAGGAATTTCAATATTTTTATACGCCTACCTATGACCAGCTATAGGTAGTTCAATTGCATAGGTGAAAATAACTGAGAAGTAATGATATTAAATGCGTATTTAAAATCTGTTCTATAAGTAAATTAATATTAAAACGTTGAACATTTCTAATATTATAATACTATATTGTATTCACGAGCCACGCTGTAGATGGTGAGTATATTTTAAACAATCATTAAATAGGTAAAAGTAAAATTAAATTGTTGCATTATGAAAATGTTATCCCAGCAAATTTTATTTTATACAATCTTACAATGCGTTTTAAATTACCCAACTTTAGCACACATTTTATTCCAATCAAAAATTCATTTTTTATTTCATGTTTTAAAGATACTAGATAGTTTAGCATTTAATATAAAATATTATATAGGTAGGTACAAGATCTTTTGCTATTTACATGTCAAACACCTTTAAACGCTTTATAAACTTTTAATATATAACATTAAGACTTACATAAATTCACATTAACTATTAAGTACTTATGTATATATTATTAACAGATGTATTAAAACTTTTAAAATACATAATGGGTTTAAAATAAAAGCGAATAAAGATTTTTATATGTCTGTTTAAAAACAGTTTAAAGTTTAACAATTTTTCTTTTAAATCGTAAGTCGGAAAGTTTTTTTCATCCCAGCTATACGAGAAAAATAGCAGACAAAATATTCATTAATCAGTTGGGCGTCTTTGTTTTTTTTTTTTTTTACCAGAAATATTATTGTTAATACAAAAACACAAAATAAATAATATAACCATTAACAGATTTTTGTAATCGCTTTGCTTTAATTATTTTAAAATAAAATGCAAATTAAAATTTAAAAAAAAAAAAAACCATTAACAACCATTATTTTTTCAAACACTAAAAATATATTTTAGTTATAAGAGGTGTGAAACATGTTTTAAATGGTGAAAATGAAGATCATAACCAACTTTAAAATATTATACTCAAATCAACTACACCTTAACACATTATATTCTTCATATTTCATCTAACCACCTCTGCGGCTTCGAGTCGCGATTCTGTAGACCTCACATTTAACAAATTTCATAACGGTACGTCGGTACCTATACTCTCGATTTATTACCCTCTGTTTCCTCCCTACCTCATGAGAAACCAATCTCTAATTTCTATACCAACTTATTTCACCTCTTATGGAAGTAACCAGTCACTTCACTAAATGTTACGCCGGATTAATCAGGAGGAAATTGTATTTTTCTTAGATGAAAATTCAGTAATATACAAACATATAAATACGTATACCTATTGACGTTTTTTTTCCAAAAAACACAAAAAGTGTTTACTGGACTAAATATGGTTTCAGGTATTTGACAAACATAACAGAGGATATATAAGTGCGTCGGACTTGAGAGCTGTCCTTCAATGTTTGGGTGAAGATTTGTCAGAAGAAGAAAGTAAGTATATGTAACGACGTAACGTTTAAAAAAAGTTCCAACTATCTACGTGTTAGGTATTACGGGCCTCATAAATATTTTTTTTTTCCTTGCTTTATTCATTCTACAGTTGAGGATATGATCAAGGAAGTAGACGTGGACGGAGATGGAAGAATCGATTTTTACGGTAAGTACCTACCAAACGGTTCTCGAAATAACTATAATAATATTGTACCTATATTATAACAAATTAATTCGCTTCGAGATATAGACATACAACGCCCAATATCATCAAAAGACTTAGTTGAATAACCTAAAATTACAAGGACCACACATAGTCCAATATAATCGTTTACATATAGGACATTCCTTACTACTTAGTCACTCTTTTAAACTTGGACTTTTTGTACACTTCATTCAAATGAGTGTATCTGTGTCCTGTGACCTCCCTCATATTTTATTTGACTTCAATGATCTGCAGGTTAAACGTCAAATTCTATTTGACTCTTAAATCTTTTAATATTTCTTTCAATCTTTATTATATTTTAAACACCAAACCTTACCAGCTATAAAACTGGTTATTATTTTTATTTTCGAGGTTGGCTTCATTGTATAGTCAAAGTATTGAAGACTGCTAATTTTAGATCAACTTCTCACAATCACGTCTATATAAACCTCTTAACTCAACATAAAAAAATTAATTTTTTGTTTGCCACCCTTTAGTGTCCTGCACTATTGCCAGTAAATGTAAAACTTGAAGAGTGAAGAGTTAATGTAAAATCTTATACAATTTACATATATTCGATGAACGAAAATATACTTAGTTAAATTTTAGCAATTTAGAAACCATTAAGGTTATATTAAGAAAGGTTATCAGCTTTTATATTTTATAAATAAAATAATTTTTAATATCATAATTCAATTTGCAAAATTAAAATATTGAAAAAATATGTACACTACATTAGAACTCATTAATTGTATTTACAGAGTTTGTGAATGCCCTTGGAGAACCAGGAGATGATTATGATGAAAATGATGAAGACGAAGAAGACATTTACCCCCAATTGGACATTCAAACATAGCTTTCAAACAGTCAAATGTTTTAGTATGATAATAACAAGTCCAGTTAAAATTGAATTATCAAAATTGATAATAATATTTTTTGTAAACTTAGGTTAAAATGTTAAGAACTTACCCATTTTGTAATTTCTATCAGGAATAAACACACCAATATCTGTTTTTATTTTGCCAATCAATGATCTCTAATAAGTAAAACATATTTTACTTTAATATCAATGTACTACTGTAGTATTGTTAAGTAATTTATGTCATTTGCAATGTTTAATATATAAATTAATCATTTAATGGTACAATCAATAATTCAACTTAAGACCCAATAATTTATTAAAACATATATCATTAATTTACTTTGTGTATAAATTTTAGTAAAAAAACATTCAGTTTTATGTTATAAGTTGTTATAACTATTTATTTAAGAAACTATAAAAAATTATTATTTATTATAATAGTGTACGCATCTATTTACTTCCATGGAAGGCATTTATAAATAGAAAATGTTAAGGTAACTTAATTAAAACAATAATTATGAACAAGTATTTTTACTTTAAAAAAATTACATCATTATATTGTCAGTATTCTTTCAAATACAATTAATTCAAATTTGTGAAATTGTCCATTCCTCCTTTATGCTTTGTGAACTAAAATTAAATACATTAAGAACCAGAGTACATTTAAAGGAAATAGTCGGCTGCGTGTTTTTTTGTTGGCATTCCTCGGTTTTCTTGTGGAGCTGCCTCAAATATTGTAAAATCTCTTTGGAGTGTTTCACTGAGTTCCAATATTGCCGCAACATTACCACATCTAATAGTATTAGCAATTAAATAATAGCATTAATTATTAAATAGTATAAAATTTATTTTTTAGAGTAGTATTTACCGATAACAATAGTTGGGTGCTGACCAAACAGTAAGCACTGTTTCATCAAAATGCCATTTATATCCTTCCATGACTAGTTGATGAGCTCGACAAATAATATCTATATCATTTGTAGTATTAAACTGGGAGACAACATCCGAACCAAAAAGGTATCCAGCACCCCGAGGACTCACACCCCATCCCTGAGTGTCTAAAATAATAATTTTATTAATATTGAGTGACAATTATTAAAAATAGAGATACTTACTTTCAGGATCAGACCATAATAGATCACACATAGGACCATCATGGGGAACTTCTTGTTTTCTATCAATAGTTCTAATTTGATCCAATGTTTGAATTGAAGGCGACAATCCACCGTGCACACAGAATATCTAATTATAATAAAAAAATATTATAAAACTATTTCAATAAATAAATAAATTCACATACTTTTCCGTCAATAATAGCAGATAAGCTCAGGTAATCAAAAATTTCGGTACAATAACGCCATACAGCAACACTATTGTATTTTCGAAGACATTCATCATAAAAACCATAAACTTGAGTTATCTGTCGTGATTCGTGGTTACCACGTATTAAGGTTATTCGATCAGGATATCTTACCTGCAAAAATAGTTGAATGTTTAAATCTTAGAAAATACAAAATCATTAACTAGATAGCTAAAAATAAATTGTGTTACAAAAATAGTGTTAAACTTGATCAATTTAAGTTGTATGAGAGTAATTAATAAATCTTAATACATTTGATAGAGTTAAATGTTAAATTTTAAGTAAAAATATTTTAAAAAAATATTGACTTGCTTAAGATATCTTTCTACTCCCAATAACCCAATTACCGTTATGAAATAATATGCCTTAAGCATTAAAAACTAAATATAACTATATCATTAAACATATACATTTGCAGAGACCGCCATTTCTGAAGAGGCTGTTACACCATCAATGTTTGTTTACTTGCTTCGTACAGTTATTTGATGGATTACATTGTTTTTTAACCATTTAAAGTACCTACATTGAGACACCTTATTTGGAAGCTAACACACCCCAACTTTGGTCATGGCTCACTACTGATCTACAGCCAGATCTTGTTGGTATATTTTATTGATATTTAAAATTTATAACGAGTTATAATAATAGTTATATTTTGTATAGATTTCTCATTGTAAAATTAAAATATCAATAAAAGTCGATGAAATTCACTGCCTAGATACTTATTTTTAATTTGATGATTGGCCTTCTTCAGGATTCGGTATAATATTAAAACTAAAAACACAAAAAGGATTTCCTAAACCAAAATTAGTGCTAATGTTGAGTTTTTTTAACATTTAAAAAATAACATTTTGCAATTGGTAATACATTTGTCATTTGCTTGTGAAATTAAATTGTTTCAAGCTGAAATCTGTTACAAAAACACAACTGATAATACACAAATGAAAAAGTTTCATACAATTCAGAAACACTTACACTCAAAAGAATTAATTCCATTAACGTGCCTAATTATATATTAAATTACTAACAAGACACTATGCCACTAATATAAGTTGTTAATAAATTAAACCTAAAAAAATACAAGACAAATTAATTTTACATGTATAAATTCAATAGTGCATTAATTTTATTTTTACCGGGGACAAACCTAAAAATTTACCAACTGGCACTCACCATTATGCATTTTATGAGTTAACCAGGACAACATTAGACTTACAATATAATTATTAATTATATAACCTATACTAGTTACTAGGATCTACCATGTAGGTAAACAAACTGTACAAAACCTACCAAAAAAATGTATTATTAAGGGGGGGGGGGAAGTGCCCTTTCGGCACCTGGGCATTAGCACCACTAATCATATTTAATGTAGTTCATAAGCTTATTAAAAATAATTTTTACTTCCAATACCAATATTTGTACTTCCATATTCTTTACGCTATAAGAAAAACTTAAATATAGCACAAAGTGAAAGTTCTTATATCATAATTCATAATACCAAAGATTATAGGGCAAAAGGAGTTAAGTGACATTTTTCAAGATTTTCAAGAGAGGCAAAAACATTTTTTTACACATAAATTATCATGTAAATCCTACATTTCAAAAATCAATGTCTCTTTATATAATGATCACAAAATACTAAATATTAAGCCCAAATAGATAGAATTTGCCTCCCACTATCCATGAATGGTATATCGCTTAGCCCCTTGTGCCATTGATATAACCAAGTATTATATTTAATACTAAAAATTAATAACAAATACAATATAAGTTAAAACATATATACTTTTAAGGCTAGTAGAAGTAAAAATGTCTCAACACTAAAGAATCCTCGGTCGACAAAATCACCCATGAATAAATAATTTCTTTCAGGAACATCTCCGCCAACTTTAAACAATTCTTTTAAGTCGTAGAACTGCCCATGAATATCACCACATACCTGTAACATTGATATAATATATATATATATTTATGAAAAAAAAAAAATTCAAATTCGAATTATGCTTAAATCTACCATCATTAAGTTTAAATATTGATTTTAGATCCAGACAGAAATGCAGTGTACAAAAATAGAAATATGATTTATTTCAAATTTTAAGATCTATGATTAATAGATTGAAAGGTGATATCATACATAATGAGGTATCCTAATAGATAGTGGTTCCTACTTCCTATTAAAGCAGAGATGAATTGTTTTTCCTATAATCATTGCTGTAAAATTTGGTTAAAATATGAACAGTCATCCAATGAAAAAATGTGCACATTCATATATCCAAGTACCACGCCGTAAAACTATACTTACAGTGACAGGAGAATCAACACGTTGTACATTGCTCTCTTCGATGAGTATTTCACGGGCTTTGGCGCACAACGCTTTCACTTCATGCTCCTGAATGATTTCACACCGTTTAAGTTGTTCAATCTGTCGATCCAAATCGCTGTTGGAATCATACATTTTCGACATTTGGAGGCACAGGGAATGATTGCTGTCGATAGTTCAGACTGGCTTCATACACACCTGCAGCTGAGACCGTAATTATGAGCGCTCTCAGTCGGAGCCCAGTCGGACACGGATCGCTGATAAGATTCTAACAAACGAATACTCACCCGCATTAGGTACCTAACCCAACGGGTCCTGCGGGACGCGATTCCTATCCGGTGGCGGGGCCGACTGATGCGGTCGAACGGCTCAGTTGACAGTGATGTTGCAGGCCATCGTTATTACAAATAGGATTTCAAAGGAAGTACGACAAACACTAGTTCGGAATAACGGCGAATTACGGCCGTGAAACGCGGAAGGAGTCGTAACGGAGGCGACAAACAAAAAACAGCCTCAAAAGCCCAAAAAACGGGTGGCAGGTCGCGACTCGAAAGTGCGAAAAGAGGTATGTAAAATTTATCGGATGTTGGGATGTTTAGTGTTTACACGCCGATTACGGGGACTAACCGCGACAGACTAAGCGCATGCGCCAACTATGAATCAGGGTTACCGCAACAGTTGTCACAAAATATCCCGTTTATCACAACAAGCGTTCCCGCCGAATTCAGCACGCCAATCATTGGCGCCCATGGAAAATAAAAACTGGTTTCGTTGTGCTTGATTTATTTCATTACAGTCTGCTTCCCCTCGCATCTAGTCATCTTCTCAACGGTCATCAACTCGTCTAGACGATTTTATTAGGGAACCAACGTATGGAGTACTTGCATGGGAGAAATATATCTAAAATAAATAAATGATTATAGTACAATATATTCTTATTCTTTGCAAATAGTTTAAAAAAATTACGGATTGTTTCTTGTATAAAAGTTTAATATAATATAAATTATTAACACATGGTATAAGGCTATAACTGCGAAGTTTCAAAACGAATTATGACTTTAAGCGTTAATAAAATAGAAATTAAATTAATTGAATAGCATAAAATGTTGCAATAATAACTCCCCTCTTGATTAAATACCCCCCCCCCCACCTTCCTTACCAAGCCTGAGGAAGTGATTTCCAACCATGAAGTCATAAAGCAATTGAAAATATAGCCATATAAGTACATATTAAAACATAAAATATAGTATTCGATAAGATCAAATAATTTTTCACCCTGTCAAAAAACTTGAAAATGTAATGCATGGTTCCTCATAAGTTTGTATTAATGTATCCGTGTACCTGATTAAAAAAAAAATTTGGGCCTCAAATCCACAATGTTTTTTATGGGTGTCTGAAATTAGAACTTTGACAATTTCGTCAAAATCGTGAACATTTGCAAATTATTTAGTCCTTCCAAAATTCATAATAATTTTTATTTTCATAGGTCATATTTGAAAATTTAATACGCGATTCCCGTACCGATCCAATATGCGACCTACACATTTTAGTACAGCCGCATAAAGGATTCTTGTTTCTTGTAACGCTCGTTATGATCTCAGATTTAAAAAATTAAATTTCTTCTTGGAAATTAACAAAAGTGTTTACGTTGCATTTCATAAATAGTACGTTAGTGTGGATAACATACAGCGCCGCAACTACATAATAAGGTGTCCGTGTGCGATATTTTTTTTGGGACCCTTCCTAAATTAATTTTACTGCAAGTATTACAATCTGTAAGTGCCAACATTTTTCGGTTTTGTGTATACCTAAGTATTTATATATTCATATATATATTATATAAGAGTGACTTTGGCCGAAAATTAGCGGAGTAATGGATATCGAAACACAATTAAATAATTGACACTCATCATGATAACTAGGGCAGAGGACTTGTGCTCTAAAAAATCACCAAATATGCACCAAAACGTACAGAATATGCATTTTAAAATTATTATGCGTATTATAATGCATTAAAAAATAAGATTATTTGTATGAATATATTTTATTTAAATTTTGATGTCAGAAACCGACGCCCGTGGCCCGTATTGATAATATCTTGTACAATGAACAATATCTGTACATAAATACAATTAATAACCAAAAAATAAATCTAATCGGCAATCCTTGAGAAGTGTCTCCAAGAAAAACATGCTTGTGAGAACAGTCAACAACCATATTAATATTATGATAAAAATTTTAAATAATTTTAAATTCAACATAATTTTGGTTGTATATTAAATAAAAACTTTAAAAATATTGATAAAATGATAATTTACTAAAAATATGCATCTTAATGTATAGAATTGAAGAAATATGCACTAAAACCAAAAAAATTCGAAATATGCATTTATATGCAATATACAATTTAAAAACTAGCTTTGTTTCAGCATGAGATGTATTCGTTTCTTACTCTACTATTTTTGTGATCGTGCAAAACAAATATGCAAATGTTACAAGTCTTTTGCCCTAATCATAACAAACTTATAGTACCTACCTAGTTATGCTATAAGAGGAGAACACTTGACAGCAGCAACTATAATGCCGTCATTTTTAGAATTATTAAAAATTTCGTTCCTTTACATACAAATATTGATATTTTGCTGTATACGTTTTGATAATAATCTGGAAAATTCCGATTTTTGTGTTGTGTCATTATGCTTGTGCATCGACGAAGTATAGATTGCTTTTTTGGGGGAAGGGATCCTACGAGCGTTTCAAGTTTAAATTTTAACGAACGCTTATTTTAATTTAATCTTATGTTAAAATAATCATTTAAGTTTAAAATTTAAAGCCTAACTAGTATCATGGTAATAACTAATATGACAATATAATAATAATAATAATAATAATAATAATATATATATATATATATATATATTGTTTATTGTTGACAGAACCCCTGTTAGAGTATGCCACTGTTTCTATGTATTCACATTGTTATGAGATTTGTGATTTCTGCTGGCTACTTATATATGTGTATGGTATACTATTTAGTATTTAGTACCTATACTATTATATTGTATATACAATTATTATGTAATTTTAAATATAAGTATTCAAATAAAACTATAAAATATGCAAACATTGATGAAATGCAGTATTAATGTGTTGCGTTGATTCTGGAATCTGGATATCTTTATAGCAATTGTACGAATTGATCCGAAATCGAATAACCTATACAATAGTATAATAATTATACAGACATATTTATCATTTCTATAATATATTATGATTAATTAGGATCTTAAAGTTTTTTTTTAAATTCTTATAAGTTATAAACTTATAACTTAAAAGTCTTAACAGCCTATACCTACGGTGTATGATTAAATTAACAATCGTAATTTAAACAAATTTGAATAGATTTGTATACAAATAAAATATAAATAAATAAAAATATTTTATATTTTGAATGAATAAATATGATATTGTGAAATTAGAGGTGAATTTTTTTTATTATCTAATCAGTTAAAAAGTTAAAAAGTTATAACTTATATTATGACATTTAATCAATTATTTTTGATGCTATACTATATATAGTAGATAAGCACCTGAAAAATGTTGCTTGGTATTTTGTATTTTAGGCATAAACATAAATTGTATATTTTTAATTTAAATGTAGTAATACAATATTGAAAACACAAAAACTAGGTTAAATATTATTTATATAGTTCAATAATGATTGGAAATGGAAATTGTTGTTGAAATATTCCTATTTCTTTCCTTTTTTTGGCAGATGTTCAAGAACGACGGTCTGAAATAATAAAATATATTATAATTGATAGGTATTGAATTATTGATAAGTTGGTTAAATTTGTTAAAATAGTTAAACTTTCAAATCCTATCAAATTATAGTTTACCTCGAACTTTTTGATTGAATCGGCCAATTTGTGTTCTATTGGGCGGAGTGCAGCCTTGGCTTTGTCAAATGCACCACTAAATTTATCTGCGTCCAATACGTACTTGATAATATCTTCAGATAATCTGTCCAAGTCACAAGACTTATCGTAAAATTTAGTTAATTTTTCTCCTAACACGGAGTCTTCCTTCTTAATTATATCAATACTCTTCTTTAATTGTTCTTCGCCTTCAATATCCATCTTCTTTACGTATTCATTAGTAATTTCAAAACTTCTTTTTATCTATAAAATATTAAACAATTAATAAACATTCGTTCTCTTAATATTGTTATAAGCATACGCATGCTATTTGTATAAAACCAATGAGTTTTATGTGGTATTAGAAAAATAATAGAATATATGTAATAAAAAAATGACAAAATACTATAGCATACTGACAAAATATATTCAAATGATATTAAAATTGTCTTTATGTATTAGAGAATTTGAAGCTATATCCAACCTGACAATCATACCAAATCATGACACATTTTTGTTTTATTATAAATATATCAATCTAATCAATATGATATTAATATTATACTTTTAACTTAACAGTAGATTGATCTGTTAAATAAGACTGATCAACAAATAAAGATTGACCTATGCAAATGGTAATACATTTATTTTAGTGCCTATACCTAATAATATGTTTTTAAATAATAATAATTTAAATCCACTTTTAAATATCATCTAACAAATCCTGAATTAACAACACATGTTGTTTTAGAAATTGTGATAAAGTATAGAGAGGTAAATTATCCGAAGATGTGAGATGTCCGAAATCCGTAAAATCACTAATTCCCCCTTCCTATACAGTTAAAATTGCACCAATCATATAATAATAATCCTTGCATTAAAGTTTAAAACAGTTTACGAAGAAACCGGTGAAATATTTTAAGAGAGGTTCTTCTATAAACTTTAAAGTTACCAGAATCGCTTTATTAAAAAATTAAATATCTTGTTTCTATCCTCGGAAATTCCAGACTAAAAATGAGTGGGTGTCGTGATCTTTTAAATAAACTCAATTGTTAAGTGTTACTAATAGATCACGGTCTAAATATTTAGATTTAATATTTATTTTTCATAAGTGACTACCTATATTCATATTCATAGTTCTAAATCATTTAACCTCGTAGGTTAAAGTTGTTGTTTTTTCTTCTCGCAATACCTAAATACTTAATGTGATATATGAATATATTCGCATAGATTAGATTGTATATAATTTTATTATACCTATTATAAGCTATAAAAAAAATATTCTTTTGTAGTTAATCTTTCATTGTCACATCTTTCTTACATAAACACATTTATGAGACAAATTTACATGGCACGTTGTAATTCAGAATTCTACTATGTTATACGTCTTCACATGTTGGGGAGGCACTAACAGAACAGACATTAATATACACTGCATATTACACAAAAAAATATTGTAAAAGTAGCTTACTCCGTACCATTAAAATACCCATCAGAGGAATTATTCAAACATACTAATATATTATCTGTTTATAAATAATACATTAGGAAAATTTTAGTTAAATTCATATAAAACCACACACGCAATGCTACAAAAATAATAGACAGAAGAACAGAAAAATACATTCAACTGTCATATACTTAATTAATTATTAACTAGTTCTAGAAACTCTCCCAATTTCACAGGGAAAACTATTTTAAACAATTTAAATAACGAAGTTAAGAGTCTAATAAAAAGTTTATGTGAAAGTCAATCCAATAATACCAATGATATAATTAATAAAAATCAAATAAAAAAGGCAATTAATAAAATAATTAGTGATCTTGATGACTATGTGTGTGTATAAATAAAATTATAAAAAGTCTATACGTCTAAACATAATTTCGTATAATATGTATACCTATATGTAATGCTGATGTTAAATAATTGTATTTCTTAAGTGTCTATTTATTATGTTATGTTTGTTTAATTAGATCATATTTTTATTTGAATACGTTTTTTAGGATAGAAATAGATATTTTAGTTTTTAAGTTGATTATAAATCTATATCTATATGATTAGAATGTATAGATTTGTCTTTGATTTTGTTTTGATATGGACAAACTATAAAAACCATACCTACCTATAGTAGTTGGAAATTCAAAGTATAAAAATAACGATTTTTTATGTTCTAACTGTGATATTTTTAACTATTTTGTATTTTAGTTATGTTATTATTCCAATTTCGAAGGTTGGATCATTAAATATGGGGTCTCAAGTATTTTATAAGTTTAAACTGTTTAAACTTTTAAATAACTAACAACATATTCATTATGTATTTTATTCAATAAAATTTGAATCATTGCTAATAAATTATGATTTCATTGGGACGTATAAATCGTGTAATATAATTATTAATAATGTAATATAATATGTTTTTTGTTCAATTATAAGTGAAAAAAGATAATAACTGCTGAACTTAAATTTTATCAATTTTAATCTCTGATAAAGTTATAGATTTTACAAAGGTTATTACTTATATGTTATAACTTTAGCCTATGCCCTATAGTCTATATGGACAGGAAGTTCGTTCATCAACATGCAGGGTTCGCTAAATAATTAGGTAATTAAAAGTGAATAACCGATATATGTTAATCGTAGGTAGCTTGAAGAATTGAAGAATACAATTTTGTTAGTTATTATTCATTTTTTTTATTGCTGTTGGACGTATGATTGTATGATATGATAAATATTTTCACACTACTTATAGTTTTCAATTCAATAGTTATTTTTGAAATTCAAACGAGTTTTCAATAAACATTTCGCAGTAAGCAGAACAATCTATATAATAATGGATTTACGAAAAATATAAAATATAAGTAGGTATTCTTAGTCTAGTGTTTATTATACCTAAGTACTTAGATAATTGTACAAATGTGTAATCAAATGTTCACATTTATAAATTGTAATTCATAATTAAATACTATAATTTTAAAATATCAAAGGCCTCACAATTTCGAAGAATATAATTCTTATAACATAAATAGTTTAATGACAAAGAAACAGCTCGTTTAAATTTCGATTGATATATTACAAACACCAACATTTAAAAAGATTTATCTGCTTAAAAATGTACAATAAAAAATATCAGCTCATAATTAAAAACATGACTATACGTTACCGCGGAATAGTATTTATATGATGGCATAAAAAAGTCTTATATTTAAAAATAGGGTTTTTAATTCCGAAAATCAGAATTTGAACAATCTTAATGGGAATTAATGGAAAATATTGCGTTTAGTGTACTTGATGAATTACGCTGTATGTATATATACTATACGCTGTACCTATATATATATATATATATATATATATGTAATAATATCTATGAATAGTTTTGATTTTATTCTATTAAGTTTAAATTATTAAGTCCATACTATTATAGAGAATGTATATTATTGAAAAGTTCAAAATAAAAAACACCAAAACACTTTAATTTTATAACCTAAATAAACCAACAAAACATATAAGTGAATACTAAATACCTAATACTATATCAAATTTATTAAGATATGAATTATGAATTAAAAAGTAATATTGTACTTGAACCAAAATTATACATAAGCTGAGATTTTTTTCATTGCCTACCTATTTATTTTGAGCTTTATATTTCACAGAAAATGTATTAATAAAACATGTATTTCGTGTTTATCTTATTTTCCACTGAATTTGTATTTTAATAAAATAATATCAGAATTGTTAGTTAAATCATCAGAGGGGAGAAACTTTTAACACATTAAAGCTTAAACAATAAATCCCTAATAATATTTTTATTACCAAGAGATTGTAAAATTACAACGTTCAATGTATTAAATATATTTTATTTTCCATTGTCTTATCAACACTTAGTTGAGTATTTATACTCAATGAATAATGAGCCACCGAGAAGAAGTACAATATAACAAGGAGAAATTTATATAAATATTAAATTAAATATAGGTTGGTACATGGTATAATGTGAACGTACTTCTCCAGTCCATTCATCTATATCTTTATAAATAAGTTTGAATAGCAAATGCATTCAATACTAAATTATAATCAGTTATTTTTACCTGAGAGTGGAGAAAGTTTCTAGCTTGCTCGGCCTTTGCTGCGATTTCATATTTTTTGTATAAAGCGTTCAAGTCTAAGGAGTATTTATCAGAGTCATCTGTTACATATTTTGAAGCTTCTCTCATTAATACAGTTCCAGTTCCAAGGACTGAGTTGACAAGTTCGCTTTCATGGTCATCCTAAAATATCAATTATTATCTTAAAAACATATACCACATATTATTTTAAAAAAATGTTTATATAAAAAAGACGAATAAACTAAAATAAACTAAACAAATTTATAATAAAACTATTATTTCTAAATATCCAATATATTTACCTTAGCCAATGTCACGACACTAGTCGTTAGGAAAACGACCAAAAATATTTTTGCCAACATAGTGTTATTTTTTAATACAAAAGACGAAACTTGTATCTCTTAGTGTTCAGGAACGAATGTAAAGTTATACATGAACAGATCGTAGATCAAATTTCCACTAAATTCTCCTCCTTTTTTGACCTTTAGATTTATACATTCAAATTATTATTCGTAAAGATAAAAAATATGGTATTAATTATACATGCAGAAGACAATTTAACGTATTCATTTTTTATGCGTTTTTTTATTTAGCGTTGTAAGTGATTAGTTATTCGTGGACTTAGGACTGTAGATTGGACTATTTATTGACCTATGTAGAAAAAATACTTTCAATAAATATTATGTACCATACTGTATATGCACTGATAAATTATAACAAAATTAAAATTAAATAATTCATAATACATTTGTCATATACTATATACTTATACAGTTTATATAACTATATGTCTATTGTCTATACATAATATTCTATTGAGCATATTATAAACTACCTACGAATTATATGCAATGTAAATTGCACTTAATATGTCAATGATTGGATGTAATAATGTCTAGTTAATATCTTGATTGTAACAAAAGCTATATCAGCTACTATTCACCAATATTATATTTAGTGTATTTTACTACCTATTGAATCAAAAAATTAAACAAAATATAGACTACTGGACAGTTTCATAATACTGTTTTTTTTTTTTATATGAGGTGAGTTAAACCCTGACAAACAAACTTGAAAAAGTTTCATGCACAACTTGAGGAACTTCAATTTTAAAAACCAACTTTAAACTATTGAAAAATTAAGCTCTATAACTTACAATTTGTTCAGTGTAGTTTGTTCAAAGTGAGGGGGGATACTTAACACGCATGCTTAGAACCTAAATGTTTTCAAACTTAAAATAGTATTTCTCCTCAAAAAATTGTTGTGATTTTGTTGTAGTTCAATAATGATCGAAATACTTGAAACATTACCTACTTATTTATGATAATTTTGGTAAAGATTAGTTCGACTTACTTTATTACTCATTTAAAAACTAATATGTTATCACTAATGAATAAACAAATATATTATAAAAATATCAGAGTATGACTCATCGTCTCGGCTCAGATCTTTTGTATCTATACGCTTATACAATGATTTACCATCGTATTTAAATTCATCACATCCATAACTTATTACTGTGACATAACCATTCATTTACGAGGTACACTCAAATTTACTATATAGAGTGAGTTCCCCGGTTTTTTTCTACATTTTACCAAAAAAATTATTTATTAGGTTTTTATTTTATAATATCGTTGAACTTCATTAAACTTTTCTCTAATTTAATACTGTGCGGAATATAGTAATCTAAAACTCTTAGGAAATGAATTGTATTAAATTAATTTTTAATACTATACTTACCTATAATTTACTAGTAATTATTGTATAATTGATTTTATAATAATTAATGTAAGTATTAAAGTATCAATGCTTATTCTGTATTTATGTATTAAAAAATTGGTGTAACACTTGATCCTTGATTCATCGATTGAACGCCTTCGAAGAGCAAATTAATCAAAAGTGAATATACCATTTATGTTTAAATTCTTTAAAAAATTACTTTTCGTTAGGCAGGAACCTACAGTATATAATATATATATATTAATATTATAGCAACTATATTAGATGTTCAATTTCTATAATATTTTTTAACTTAACACACCTCATTTTGTTTATACTGAATTAAAGAGTCCATTTCCACAGCCCCCTCCCCTATATGAAATTTTAAAATTCTGTATGCGCAAATCGTTTGTGCATCGTTGAATATGATTTAATTATCATGATAACAAGACCGAAATGATTTAACATGAAATTGTATTTCAAATACGTTGTATAACATATTATATAATATAAAACAATAAGGCCACCGTCTGAATTAGTAGGTACAGTAATTTAATAGACTACCAAATAAGTACCAACCATTATGTATACACAAACAAACTGCAGTTCCATAGTTCATATTTCAACAGACTTTCCTAGTTATTACCATAAGATAAAATAAATTGATAAAATATAACAATATTGTCTCACCTTCATACCTACATAATATAATATATATATATATATATATATATATAGAGACTTTTTATAGGTCCCACGTCCGTGTGGTGGATAAGTATACAATATCGATGATCATATTTGTTTTTGGATTGTCTTATTAGTTTAATAAATTCTCAACGATATTTAAAATAATAAAAGTCAATAATATTTTTAAATTGTAATTAGTGGCATAATAACATGACAATTTGACAATTTAACGACATTTTTACAGTTATATAAAGAGTTACAACTCCGCTCCGCTTAATATTATAGCAGTCACAGTAAATATATGTATAAACATGCCGATTCTTAGAATTGTTAAGTATACCTTAGAGGCTTAGAACATACTTTCAAATTTCTGATATTTTTTGTACTCTATACCTACTTAAGAAGTGTTCTGTGGTGATACAATTTTCTATTTTTCAAATGAGAACTCTCTTTTTTACTACAAATTAGTTATAGCGACTGATTTCTTAAAAATGTTAATGTATCTAAATCAAAATTCTAATGAGAGGTATTTACTTAGTTATTAGTTTATTACAATGATAAATGTTTATACTAAGGAGAAGGATAACAGTCCTTAAAAATGGTTTTATAAAAATAATAACAATATGTAGTATTAGATGTCCTTTGTATTTATTATACTTAGATAATTTGTATGGATCATTTATATCCATAGTGAAATATAATCAATAGTAACTTCTTTTTTTTTCTAAATTATACATACCTTTACCTTTAACAATGAATAATTTGAATCGTGTAAATTAATTATTATTTATTACGTCTAAAAGCATTTATGTTTTTATCATCTTACCTCTACTAATTCTTTTTTATTTTATACCAATATTAATTAACATTTATAAATTACTAACTTATAACATTTTTGTTCGTTGAAAATAATCTATTCATTATACTGATGTTCATTGATATTTCTTAACAAATTTTCTCATACCTATGTTAACGTATTGAATTGTAAAAGGTATAACATATTATATTAGTCTTTTAAATTAAACAATAGCGATACATCACCTTCATTTGTCATTAAGTTTATCACTAATAATGTATAGGTACGTTTATATTTTTGTTAATTTTAATTTCTCTAATGGTTTATTTTTAATTTAATCTAAAGTTCACGTTTTGTTATTCAATAACTCAGAGATTAGACATTTAGACGATAATTATATTGGCAGGTAAATATAAAACATGTAATAAATATAATCACATCAGGATGTACCTAACAAATAACAATATTTATTGAGTTCCTACTAATTATTATATTATTACATATTCGATAAGCAAACAGTGGTCCATACTAGTCAGTTACATTTACTCGATAAACGATAATGATACAGTTGAATATAATGCCAATTATAGTAACCTACTTAAAAATATTTAGACTTTAGTCGATCAGTGATGAGATGTAAAAGTCGGACGATCCGTAATCATACTTCCTTTTATACATGATAACCTTTGGATCGGCACTAAAGAAAGTATAGTTTATAGGTTTTCTAACCGATAATATATTATAATAGTAAAAAATAAAATAGGTAAAAGTAAAATTTGTATGACAAGTTTTACTTTTTACAAAAAATTAAGATTTCAAAACATTATTAACAGAAAATACAACAAATAATATGTGTACATGAAATTAATAAGTCTTATGTATTAGTTTTTCTTGATTTCTTTCTTCTTATCAGGAATCAAAGCCAATATAATCTCCTAAAAATATACAATAGTATAATAAATGGCCATTGTTTTTTAATACTATATCATCTACACTTACTTCAATGTCCTTGATAATTGGTGTCCAACGTTTGACGATTGGTTTGGTTTTGATTCTAATATCGTCTTTCAACTCATTGAAACGTTCCAAAAAAGGTTTTTTGATTTCTTCATATAATTTCATAAGGTCTTCTTTTAAATCGGCTAATTCTGCTTTTAATTTCTTGACCTTCTCGCCAATTTCTGGATCTCTAGCTTTTAATTCTTCACTCACACGTTCGATTTGTTGTTGAACGACATCACACATCTGCTTTTGGAATTTCTCTACACTTTCTTGGACCTAAAACGAAAAAAAAATATACTCATATATTATATTTAATTATATATATATATATTTATGTATATATATATTTTCACTTTTATAATATTTTAATTTTACCTATTACACATACAATAATTCAAATATTCTCGGAAAGTTATTTCAAACCTCGATTACTTTAAAATTTAAGCGTCACAAACATTTTAAATGTTTTGTAAATTATTTAATTTCAAATGAACAAATAAAAACTAACCTTTTGAAGAATTTCTTGAAAATGTTCATTAGTGTTTTCAACGTTTTCTTTTAAATTCTCGAAATATTTATCAACGTGTACATCACCTTCGTTTAGTCTTAATTTGATCTTCTCTGTAATCCTGTTAGCCGACTTTGACATCTCTCTGAATAATTCATCAAATGGATTGTCTGGTTTATCAGGAAGAAGTTTTGTGCCTGCTTGTACCTATAGGGATATATCGAGAAAAAAAATACGTAAATATTATGTAAATCTTAAAATAAAATAATTGTATTTAACAATAAAATGATTAACAATACCGATTTAACATACCTGTGACAAGCAAAATAGGAAAAACACGAATTTCAAACTATGACTTTTAAAGTGCACCATTTTTATTGATTTTCTTTCAAATAGCAAGCGATACTTGGCTCTAGGACGCTGGTAATAAACTCGGTAACAATGTTTTGTCAGTTTTTATGCGTAAACTATGAACCTGAAACATCGATAGTCGATAAGCTACTTACTTATCTCATAAACGGGTACCTATACTCATATACTGGGTGATTACTTTAACAGTAAACATTCTATATCTAGAAAAGTAATAGCGTTTTTAAAATGTCTGTTAAATTTAATTTCAATCAATTGCAAAACAACATTTTAGAAAAAAATTGTATTTTTTGCAATTTTAATTATTATCATATTTTTCTTTTTTGAATTACAACACATTTACATACATTCTGAATATCATATGGTCAACCA